GAGAGAGCGGTCCGGGAGCAAAGCCCAGTGGTCGAACCGCATTGAAGTGCGGGAAGATGCTCGTCAGCGCGCCTCGTGGATGCAACGAAGGCCCACGACGAGGTGAACCGCTGCCTTCTCGCCCGCGCTGCCGTCGATCATCGATAAAACTTGATTCGGTCGCGGTTGAAGCTGCCCGCCTTTAACGCGGCAAGCGGATCATCAGCATTCTAGGTGCGTGCGCGGAGGTGGCGGAGGTGGGCCGGGGATGCGGGGGGGGCACTAGCTTGCTCAGCTGCCCGTTGTTAGACCCTCTTGATCTCGCGCGTGAGCATGTCGGCAGCGTTGCCACCTGCAGCGCCGTCGACGATGTCACCCTCCAGTCGACAGGTCACTCGTCGCAGGCCGAGGTCAGGCTGCCGTGATCTGCCACAGGTTGTCCCGCCACAGGTTGTCCCGCTCGGCAACCTCTAAGTCGAAGGCCTCCTCCGCCACGCGGGGCTTCGCCTTCACCTCCTCGCACTCGGAGTCTTCGCTGACCTCGCCCCGCCGTCCTCAATGCTCGAGTCGCACTCGCCGAACAAGTCCTCCATCTCGTTCCGCGCCCTGCATTCCTTGGGCAGCTCCGCGCAGCGAGCTGGCTTGCGCTTGGCGCCCCCTCTCGGATTCGCGCCCCCTTCTGGGGTCGGGGCCGCTTCATCCGCTGCGCGCAGCACCCCGCGCTCGAAACCGCCCACCTGCTTATTGGCTTATTCCTTGCTGCGCTGGCTGTTGGGGCCCGCCTTCCTCTTGGGCAGGTCGGGCAGCGAAAAGAGCGGCACTAGCTTGAGGCCCCGCTGGGCTGCGATAAGCGGATCTCCCCGAAGGTGCAGTCGCACTCCGCAGTGGTCGCTGGGGCATCTTGTCCAAGACCATGCAGAACGTCTCCGAACACACCGCGTAGTCCAACATCCTGGACGGGCTCCGCGTGCAAGCGCAGCCCGCGTCATCAGGCGCCCCGATGGTCGCGCTGAGCACGCCGAGCCAGCCCATTTGCTGCAGCTCACGGGGCTCCGCGTTCCAGTCGCCAATCGCCGCCCACGGCCCGTCGCGGCCCCTCGTGATAGCTGCCAGCCTTGCAAGCTTGTTCTGATTCACTTTGCTGCGCACGCCAACCGATGAAGTCAGACACATGCCCGCCACCAAGATCGACTGCACCCTCCAACGCCAGTGGACGGCGACCATGTCCTGGAAGCCGATGGGCCAAGGACTACGCTCCTTCTCGTCGAGCGCCCTCAGCCCGAACATCTGCTCCTTCTTAGCGGCCAGATATTGCAATGTTGCCACTGAAAGATGGGCACGGGCCGCCAGGCCGATGCCCCCCGCCAGCTCGCTGCGCTGGCGAGCTCGCGAAGGCGACGCCGCCGCCTTCCAGCCCCTGAAATCCAGGTGCTCCAGGGTGTCGTTCGCGCAGTCTGCCCCGACGTGCGTTTCGGGGAAGATCGCGACGTCGCCCGCGAGCGTGTCGATCTTCTTCTTGAGCCTCGGCCCCCAGGGAGATAGGCTCTGCGTGAAGATGGGGTGGTTCTTAGGGGCCCGCCGCGCCGCGGCTTCTGCCTGCGCCCTTGGCCCTGCGCGCTTCGATGGCGGCCGCCAGGTCCTTCTTTTCCTTGCGGTCCTCGCGTCCAGGTCCTCCGCTCCAGGTCGCGCTGGCTGTCCGCCTGGTAGGCTGCCGACGTTGCCCAACTGGCCGCCGCTGGCGGGAGTGCCTGCAGGTTGAGATGGAGCTTCGGCTGCGGGCGCTGCGTGCGGCTCGCCCCCCGGCGCTGCTCCGTCGACCTTCCTCCTCTTCTTGGTCCAGTCCATGAACTCGACCTCCGCTTGCTTCGGCGCCTTGATTGATTCCGCCGCTGCGGCGAAGGCGGCTTTGGCTGCCGCCTTAGCCTGAGTGGCGAACTTCTTTTCGCGCCGCTCGATCTCCACCTTGTCTTCCTCGCTGACCTCGTCGCTGGCCACCGCGAAGATGTCGCCCAAGTCAACGTCGATCCCCTGGTCCTCCATGAAGTCTGCGATTGGTAGTTGTGGCCGCTGAGGTTGCGTTGCTCCGCCAACTGCGCCGCCGCCGAGTGGGCGCTGTTGGAGTTATTCCTTGACCTTCGCCTCTGCTGCGACCACCTCCGCCGTGCGTTGCTGGAAGTCGAGCTCGGCCTGCTGAAGTTCTGCTCGGAGTCGCCGCCTGGCACTTGTGTACTTGATCTTCGGCTTGCCGTAGCGCATCTCGAGATCCTGGTAGCGGCTGCTGCTGTGCCGCAGGTAGTCGCGCAGCTTCTGCGAGGAGATGTTCGATCTTGCCCTTGACCGTGTTTTCCGCTAAGGCTGCTGCCCGCTGAAGCAGTTGAAGTGCGTCATCTCCTCCTGCGTGACCTCCGTCGTTGTCTGGTTTCTTGCGACGCTTCCCAGCCGAGAGGATTGGTCAACCTCCGCCGTCACGGTCTCCTCCTCCCTGAAGGGAGTTGAAGCTCGCTCCCGCTGGTGGTTCCACCCGCCACCGACTGGCGCCGCACTTGCACTTGAAGGACGCCTCCGCCAAACGATCCACGAAGAGCAACTTGCCGCACGTTTGGCAATGTGTTTTCTGCCCTCCGCCTCGCTGACCTCCGCGACGCCAGGGCCAAGTTTGGATCCACGGCTGTCGTTTCCAACCGCCGCCAGAGTCGCCACCGCCGCCGCGAGCACGAGGAGGCGCCATGGCTGTGATATGGAGTGGCGCTCGCGCTCCGAAAGGACTGAAGATTGGCTGCGGACTAGCGGCTTCCCTTTTGGCACGGAGGCGCGGGGCCCCCGAAACACAATCATCTTGAGCCGAAATGGGTACGGACGACGACGACGACGACGACGAGGTCCCGTGGGAGACTTTTGTGGCACTCTTGGGGCCTCCTGGGAGCTTGCTGGGGGCCTCCTGGAGCCGTTTTGGGAGCCTCCTCAGGCCTCCCGGGGGCCTGTGGAGGGTTCTTGGAGGCTTCTTTGGCCATGCTAGGGCGCCCCTGGCCCGTCTGACGCCGTCGGAAGCAGGCTTGGGAGGAGTTGGGTTCCGATTGGGGGCTTCTTCGAGCTTCGGGGCCGTCGTGGAGGCCATCTTGGGCGTCTTGGAGGGCTCTTGGGCCATTTTGGGGGCCTCTGGGGCCGTCATGGGGCCTGCTTGGAGGCCACCTGGACGATTGGGGGGCGTCGGACGGGCGAAAAGAAAGAAAGTGCAACATCTTCGAAAAACCGAACGGAAATCCGTATTTTCACGTTTTCGGGCGTTCCCGAAGAATTTCTTAGAGGCCTTCTTGGAGGCCTCTTGTGGGCGTTTTTGGCTACCTTGGGAGGGTTTGGGTGCATCTCGGCCCGTCTTGAAAACATATTGCGGCCATCGTGGGCTCTCTTGGGGTCCCGAAGATGGTCGAAGAGGTCTGTTGAGGGCACCGGGAAGAGGGAGTGGGGATCTCCAGATCCATGTTATTTTGGAGCCTTCATGGGGCTCTGACGGTTGCTATGACCGCGTGGTCTGGCCATTGTGGATTTGCCGGACGGTTCGTTCGTAGAAATACGCGCGCGGAGATGGTATCTAGCATGCGTGTGGCTCTTGTGCCGTTGGCCCGTGTCCAGGTCGCCCATGCGGGTGTCTAACATACGGATGTGTCAATGATGTCTCTAGCGAAACGCTTGCTTTGAAGAAGCGGCTCAGGTCGCCCATGCGGGTGTCTAACATACGGATGTGTCAATGATGTCTCTAGCGAAACGCTTGTTTTGAAGAAGCGGCTCAGGTTGCCCAGGCGGATGACCAACATGAGGATTTGTAGCGGCTGGTTCTGCTGGATTGCCGAGGATATCTCGAGCGAGGGGCTCGCCTTGCACCGACATGCTTCTTTGCGGGATGTGTTGAGGATGCCTCTCACGAAGCGCAGGTGGGGGCCTTGTCGTCGTGTCGGTGCGTCTCGTTTCGGTTCGGGTTCGCCCCCTGTTCGGTTCGTTTCACATCGGAATTGAATCGGATCTTGACTTTGAGCTGGTTGAACGCCCCGCATATTTCGATCGCAACCCGCGTTGGGCGAGACATGCGCGTAGGCAGCTTGAGCTCAAGATCCAGATCAGATCGGACAATAGTGGGGTGCCCAAGATGGCTTGATCCATAACGCAGCAGAGAACAGCAAAGTTCAAGACATAATGGCGCAGCACAGTGCAGCACAGCACGGATGAAGAGCAATTTGTGCCAGGATCGCGGCTCTGGTCATCTGCGAGGGGCCTTAGCACCTCGGAGTATGGCTCCCTCGTCAAGGGCGCCATGGGGTTTCACGATGGTGAGCCGAAGCGTATGCGGTTCTTCCCAGTCTTGGTCTGTTTTGTCTCGCTTCGAGCGGTGTCGGTTCGGCGTTCGTCTCGGTTCGTGTTTATTTTTTCGGGTCGTTGTGATGCAGTCCGTCGCGTCTTGGTTCGCCGCGCCTTGGCGGGTCGAGCACCCCGCGGGGCTCGACTGCAACCAGCTCGAGCTGTGCGTTCAGGCAGCTCCAGCCCAAGACTCAGGTGCGCTCGGTCAGGATTCTGACGCCAAGATCGACGTAATCAACAATGCAGTACAGCACAGCACAGTTCAACGCGGGAAGGCACATTTGAGTTCACAGCACATCACAGCACAGCTCTTGGCACGGTTCATCGCCATCGGTACTTTAAGCATTGCAGTTGCCCGTCGCCCCAAGTTTGGTGTCTCAGAAACGGTTCCATGCTTGACGATTCCATACTCCTTTTCCAGGTTCGTGGGTCGATCATGTGGGGCCCTGGGGGGCCCCAAGGCTGTCGATAAGCGATTCTGGATGACAAGTTGGTCCCAGGGACGGCGTCGCGAAGCAAGGGGGTCCATGTTATGAAGAATTTTAGCGCCGGGGGACGGAGCGTGTTCACTTACTTTCTTTGCTTCAGCCTGGGGTGTACACACCATGCCAGAGTCCAGGATGGCCCTGACCAGGCACGGTGGTGGTGTATGGGTGCTTTTGCGCAAGAAGGAATGCGGAAGTCTGGAGGTCGCCTCTGTGGAGTTTGGCCGCGACTCCTCGGATAACGATTCGTCCTCGAGTATGGATGCCGCGGCGGTGGCCCACTTCTCCAAGTTCGTGAAGTCCGTCGAAACAACCATCCCCGAATGCTTCGTCCCCGAGGTCGGTGACATGATCTTCGTTCACCGCCTGAGGCAGAAGGCTGCTGACTTTTGGGATTGGCTGCAGAACATTGAGCCGCCCGCCCCCGCTGGGCGCGTCGCTCACTTCACCACGGGCAAGTTCTTCGAAGGGGCGATCACCGTCACCATCATCATCAATTCTGTTTGGATGATGTATGTTGCCGACGCGAAGATCAAGGATCCGTATCGTGACGACTCCTGGGCGTTTGCTGGCGATTGTGTTTTCCAGGCGATCTACACGATCGAGATGGCGATGAAGCTCTGGGTGTTTCGTCATTGGTTCTTCTGCAGCGAGTCATGGAGGATCAATGTATTTGAATTGGCATTGGTGGGTTTAGGCTTCCTCTCATTGGTCACAGCAACAAGTTCGGTTAGCTTCTTGAGAGTGCTCCGTATTCTTGAGATCGGGAGGGCGAGTCGAGTCTTGAGGGCTATGACCCACTTTAAGCATTTGCGAGCTCTCATGGTTTGCATACAGGGCTCGATATCGAGCCTCATGTGGAGTCTATTTATGGTAATTCTGGTCTACAGCATCTTCGCGCTCTTCCTGGTGCAGATCATTACTGGACACCTTATGGAGACAGGTAAGGTTGTGGAGGAGACCTTTTTCTTTGATTCATTCGGATCGATCGCACAGGCAATGTTGACGCTCCATATGGCATGCACTGGTGGCCTTGGCTGGGAAGTGGCGTACGAACAGATCGAGACGACTGGCGTTATGGGGAGTGTTATATACTTGATCTTCATAGTTTTCGTTAATTTCGCTCTCATGAACATTATCCAGCTGCCTGCGGCAAACCCTGCCAACGTGTCAGAACGGCAGCACGACACTCTCCAGTGAAGTGACTTACTTGAATTGACGCGGGTCTTCACCCCCCCTTTGTCTGCATTGTCGTTATCCTCTTCCGTCCTCTTCCTCTTCCTCCTCCTCATCCTCGTCCTCCTCCTCCTACTCCTCCTCCTACTCTTGCCTCCTCTGAATGGCATCTTGGAGGCTTACTTGAGGTTTCTTTGGTGCCTCGTGGAGCCCTCTTGGAGTCTTCTTGGGCGCCTGCTGGGGGCCCATGGATGGTCCGTTGGGGGCGTCGGAGCCGACTTGGGCGCGCTGGTGCCGCAGAGCTGTCCGAGCTGTCCCGGCCAGGCGTGGTTGAACCATCTTGGGGATGTTGTAGCCTGGAGGAGGAGGAGGAAGAGGGAGGAGGATCAGGAGGAGGAGGAGGAGAAGGTGGAGGAAGAGGAGGTATTGAACATTGCCATGCGACTGGGTGGGGAGCATAGTCGCACGCCTCGCACTCAGGTGTGAGCGTTACCGCTGGCACTTGGCTCAAGTGCCACCTTGCTTTTTCGTGAAAAAGCTTGTGCCAGACTTGCATGGTAACGGAGCCCGTGGTTCGCCTGACGGGTTCCAGAGCAGACATGGCAGCGGCGGCCGCTGCGGCGACCCCACTCGACCCCGGCAGCAAGGACCTGGGTTACAATGCGTCGTTATTTGAAGTGCGTGAAGCCTGGTACAATAACCGATTCGCGGATCTGTGCGTCGCCGGTTACGATGGTGGAGATTGCAGGTACGTTACCATAGCCCTCCAAGCCAACCGCGAATGGATGAGGTTGTTCTTCGAGCCCAGCGCTCTTCTTGGAACCAGGATGGTTGACGATGATGGGGCATTCACGATTGACATCGAACATTCGTTATTTTCTGATATCGGCCATGAAATCCAACATGCGCTGCGAGGAAGAGTTCAACAACTTGAAAGGAGCACTTTTGGATTGAACTGCGACGTCAGACGAACGCCTGTGAACATGTTACCAACGTCGCCGAAACTACACAGTCCGCTGGAAGCACGACGGCTGGAGGAGGCGGAAGCAAACCAATTAGTGGGTACGAGGCCGTTCAAAAGCTCATGCCGTTTTTTGGTGGCAGGACCAAGTTCAGAGAGTGGGCGCAAAAAACTGATGAACGCGATCGGCCAAGGGAAACACGATTGCTGGGCAACCGTCTTCTAGGTGTACAACGAGCCTCAATAACCATGGATGGGGCGTTGCCCGATGATGAGAAGGCCGACTTGGTAAATATTATGAACGGGAGGTTAGCTGTGGGCGAACACACCAAAGCGTCACCAACCAAAGCACAAGAAAAAACGATCAAAGGATCGTCTGGGTCCAAGACGACGGTTACGCAAAGTTGGACGAGAATTGCGGGCATTTGTCGGATGGCACATTGGAAGGACGGAGCCACGGGTCAAACCCAAGGATTGCACGAGGGAGACGTTTCAGTGGTTTCCCAGAAGGCACACGCATGGTATTCAGCCGTTACTAGTCACGCTGTTACACAAGATGAACCTGGCCATGAAGGCATGAAAACCGTACACGATTAACGACGCGGCGTCCCACCTTGAACAGAGGAGCGCATTGGTAGAGTCCCTCGAGAAGTACGGGCATGCATGCTCATTACCGTTGCCGTTCAGGGCTGTTACTCTGAGGGCTGTTCTGACCACCTCAAGGGATTGGCTCGACGACTGCTTGCACGATTGCTTCAAGACGCCCGAAACGTTTGATATTAACACCTGCCAGAAGCTCTTCATCATATGTGGGGATTGGGCCAGGCAGGATAGACTTGACGGGGGTGCTGGGGAGCGGGGCGCAAACGTGAATGTGTCTGGCCATTATATAACGAAGGTGTAGAATTGTGGGCCTTGGGTGGGGCAGACATGCGGGGAAACGGCGACGCGAACGAAGCTAGCAGAGGAAATGCAAGGGCGAAGGCCCACGGGTTGCATGCGTGGAGGACGCGGGCACATTGCCACATGCTGCACCGTTAGAGGAACCACCGCAGGAAAAGGATGATGAACATGGGAATGCAAGGCGCCAAAGTTCACTGAGGAGCGCAGGTGGGAGATCGCAGAGGAGGGCGCCGGGGCACCGAGGGCCACCCGGATGGCAACGTGAAAGGAGATTACAGACGGGGCCCCTCGGGAGGTCATCAGGGGAACCAAGCCCCAAAAAATGAAGGAGGAGGCCTGGGGCGATCTGCGCAGATCAGCGAGAGGGAGCGCCACTAATCCTGCGAAAAAGGGAGGCGCCGCAGCACGCTGCCCCAGGAACGTCAACGAGACCACCCCGGGCCGAGGGGGGGCAGGAGGCGCGGCGCAGGAGGGCCCGCGCAGATGCTGGGGCCACCCACGCTTGGACCGCGATGCCACAGGGTCGCACTGACGCAGGTGGAGTCACCGGCAACGTCGCGGCGCTGAAGCCAGCAAGGGGGCGCAGGAGTGGAGAGCAACAGGAAGGCGAGGTTAGGGATCGAGAGGCGGCATGCACCACGCGAGTTCAGCTTCAAGCGCGGCCGCGGCACCTACTCGGGCCACCGAATCACAGCGCATCAAGAAGGGGAACCAGCGTGGCGCAAGTGCGCCGAGCTGACGCGACAGGGCACGGGGGGCGAGGGAAGTCGAAGAAGTTGGCGATGAAAGGTGCGAGGGTGGAGCGCACGTGCGCAGAGCCACTCGAGGACCGGGGGGTCGGCGAAGTAGCAGGAGTGGAGCGGAGGAGAGAGTTCAGCGGTGGAGCACGCAACGTAGTCGTTAAAATTCGCCAACCGCGTTACCCAGGACATGCAGCCTCACCGGTGGATCCGCGGACCGCGCCTAATCCAGGGGCGGCGGAGAGCCCCGGGGGCGCGCGATGAACGCGGGGATGAGGCGCGGCCGGCTACCAGAGGTGGCATACGTTTAGGTCATCGCGCGCATGGAAAAACAGGCCTGGGATAATATGTTTGGAAGTGAGCTCGATCCAGATTTCACGTGGAATCCTCGGGGGCGGGGGGGTCGCCCACGCAGCGCTCCGCCGCCGAGCGAGGTGCTGTTGAGCGTGGAGGGGGGGGGGGGGGGGGGGGGGGGGGGGGGGTCGACGGCCGCCGATGGCGGCCCGGGCGGGGGCGGGGCCCCGTTCGGACCAGTTCGGGGAGATCGTGGACGCGAACCTCATGGGGGGCGAGAACCGCGGCCTGGTCATTGACCAGAAGGGCGACGTCGCGATCAACGGCGAGGAGATTCTCGCGCGCGTGATCGCGGCCAGCCGAGTGGCCGACTTCAAGCGAGACGCGCAGTGAGGGTTGGGCGTTGGGCGGCCTCTGCGCCCTCGGCGACCGCGGCGGCGAGGCGGGGCGGCGGAACCTCGAACTCTCCGAGGCCGCGGCGCTGACGCGGGGCGCGGATCTGGCGAGCTTTCCGCCGGCGGGCGCCAGGGGCGCCATGGTCCTAGGAGTCCGCGGCGCCCCAGCCGGGCAGCGTGACTTCGCGCCGGGCCGCGCGGGGGCGCCTCGGCGCGCGGGCGAGGGGTCGGCCGCCGCGCGCGCGCGGGAACCTCTGCGAGGTCATCCGCCTGATGCGCTCGTGGGGCCAGGTCGACTAATCCTCGCTCGCCTCCGCTGAGTCGATCGTGCGCCCGTTGATGCAGGCGGGGATCGCGGCGGAGCGCGGCCCGCGCCATCCCGGCAACAGTGGTTTAGACATCGCGATCTCTGCAAATGTCAACGCAGTCGGTCGGGCCACCGCGCCCAAGTTCAATGCTCGGGCCACTGACAGGCTCAGGGGGGGGCGCTGATCTGGAAGCAGAAGTGGCTCAACCGCGAGGAGCAGAAGCAGACGCACAAGGGCGACGGCGGGGGGGGGGGGATGGCACCGACTTCGCGAACCCGAAGAGGCGCCCGGAGAAGGCGAAGCGAGGTGCTGCCGGCGTCGGGAACGGCGCAGGCGAGGAGGGGCGATGCCCCCCCGCGAGCTGCGGGGGCGCCAGCGCCGGCGGCCCGGGCGCCGAGCGAACCCCCCGCAGCCGACTTCCACGCGGGCTAACGCTCGTCTGGGCCCGGAGGATCCGGTCGCGAGGTCGACCGCACGGCGATGCTTTTCTTCTTTCCGTGGTGGCCTCGGCTCTGCGCGTCACCCCGAGCGGCTTCGGCCAGTTTTGATTCGGCTCGGGCCCTGAACCAGCTTGCTGCCGCCAACTTGAATTCACGTGGCGCCCAGGGTCACGGCCGGGCACCTGGGGGGCACCTCCGGCTTATTGGCGTGCAGTGTTGGGCGCGCCAGAACGTCGCCTGGCGGGTTTAGGCACGCGAGGATTGTCCGCTAGACCTCGCCGAGGAGTCGCCCATGCCGGAGATCCTCGACTCGAGAGACCGCTGCGGCATGGAACCCACGATCTTGGCCAGCTTCGATCTCGACGGGGTCAAGATCCCTCGCAGACAGGTCCACGCGCGGCCGATCCGTCGGGAGCTGCCTCCCGCGGCCCTCGGCTACCTTCGGCGCGCGGCCGACTTGATCGAGATGGGCGAGGCGGAGCTCGAGGGGGGTGGAGCCTCGGTATTCGCCTTCTCGCCCTACTGGGGCCCCCGCCCGCGGCGCTCGCGAGACCTTCGGAAGCGTCTGTTCAGCGCCTGAGAGAGCGGGGCTTGCTGACTTGGCGCTGGCGGCTGAAGGGGCGTGCGTGAGAAAGAAGGTAATGTGGAGAGGTACTGGCATGTGATAATTTCAGAGCAGCCGTAAAATAGGTTACGAAAAAAGGCGAACGACAACATATGTTTGACACATGTTAGTTAAATGACAGTCTGTTATAAGGTTTAAGCTCTCCAATCGCAAGCGATGTTTGCGGCGCGCGGCGATTGCCCGGCCGAGAATGCCCATTGGCGTGGCAGCCCAGGGTGATCATGCGCCCTGCGGCGCGCGGGATCGGCTTCCACGGTTTGGTTTTGGGGTCTCTCGCCGCGGGGGCGCGCCGCGCATTGGCGCGGCGCGGGGCCTCGCGGCGCCCGTGCGCGTCCAGCGAATTTTCGGCAAAGGGCCCGCCCATCTGCACTTTCGATCGCAGTTTCTGCTGGGATTTCTTCGGGTGCCAGGGGGCGCGTGACAGCGGCGCGCCGACATGAAACAGGGCCGCCGCGCGAGCGGCGCCGGCGGGGTCGGGGCTTCCCGCGGGGCCACGACGCGCGCGACAGTTGCGCAAATATGCCGCGCCCAGCCGCTGCCGCTAGGGCCTCTAGGGCCTTCGGCGGGGCCCCCCGTCGAGCCGCGAACTGCGCGAGGGCTCTGCGGGCGTCGCGCGCGGCCGCCGCCTCTGGGGCCTTCGGCGGGGGCCCCCGCGGCCAGGGC